AAATGTGCTAAGAATTTTAATTATGAGAATAATAACGTTAAAGTGATTTATGATTTAATGTTTTTATTTTAATGGGAATTTGTTCATACTAATATTTCCATATGATTTCCTTCTCACTAAAATTTTATTATATTTTTCAAATTTAATAATATGCATTTTACATTAATTTACAAATTGTAAAATAGTATCTAGCCCACCAAAGAAGTATTTGATTTGTATAATTTGATGTTTGCAACTACATGTAATAATTATTTTATATTATTACCTTTTTATTTGCATTCTTCAAAAGGTTTGTTTGTGTAAAATAATAATTATTGCCATAAAGAAAATGTGAAGTGGGCATTGATTGTCCATTTATAAAATTATTATACTATAGTAAATATGAGCAATGATTTGTGCAATTACTTTATCTAATAAGGTTTCTGCAATTGTTATTAGTGATGATGAAATTTTATGAACTTTCTTGTTTGTTTAATGTTCATAAAATTTATACATTATCTAAATGTAATAAAGCAATAACTATTTTTATATATGTATGTAAAAAAATCATTCATATTCTTATAAAATATAAATACTCGTAATTGAAGATTTTTTATTATTTTCCATGTTACACATTTATAATAAAGTAGGAAAATGCAGAGTAGTTTGATTTTTAACTTTTATTAGTAAGCTTTTTATGTAGGTACATAAAATCATTAATGTAGCATTGTATGTAGATTACAAAGTTTATACCGATAAATAATTAGAACAGAGCCGCTCAGGCAGACGTTTTACGAGTAAGGGCGCTTTCCGTTGCTCCGAGCAAAATTGTGAGCAAAGGCTGAAGCAAGTGATGTTGACAGTTGTGAATGGAGTGGGGAACAACGGTAGTGGTGGGTGTGTAGGCTCGTAGATAGGCATGTGCTGGTATGTTCGTGAATCGTTACTTTTTAAGTAACCATTAATTACTTTTATGAGCACGTATGGTCACTACTGTTTTTTCAGGCCGGATGATCATTACTATATTCATACAATGCCCCATCACAGGATCGTTGCTCGAGTTGGCGTGGCTTACTGCTTGAATATCGCTCCGTGCTCGAGTTTGTCTAACCACTTAATACAGAGCAATTTCGAGATCAGCTCTGAATTAGAATAATGTAGCCATGTCGTATAGTAATTACCGATAAATGACAGGATATCAGTTTGCTTTTACGAATTTGATACATAATTCTAATACTTTTCTTTGGACACGTTTGTCTTACATAAAAAATCTTTTTTGTACATAAAAAAGATGGAGGAAGTTTCAATTCCATGATTTGATCTGCGTGTCTTTGTTGTATGAGTAAGTTTGATTAAAGAAAAACGTGATTACTGATGTTAATGTCTCTAATAGTTTTAAATAGTTTGATTTAATTTATTTTGCAAATTTAAAGGTTTTAAAGTGCATAACTTTGAATGGCTTATAACAATCTAGGGTAATTATTCTTTTCGCTATAATACTACAATCGTAATTTCACCTTAGATTAAGTTTATATTAAGTCATTGCTTTCATTATTGAATTAAATATAAAAATAGTAATTGTCACAAATAGTTTCATCTTAATGTTGTAATTTCAATACAAATATAATTTGTCAGGTAGATGTTTCTAGAATATTGCTATGTCATGTAATTATAACAAGGTAATATTCATACTGAAATACTTGATATAATTCTAAATTTTCCAACAGTGTATTTATATCGTCAAAAAGATATTCTAACGATCTAAAATTCGTCCATTAAAGTTACGGTAAAATTCTTATAATATTTCAGGGACCATTTTTGTAGCTTTGGATTAAAAAACAAGAACGTAGAGATGTAAGAAGGTACAATATTCCATTGTAAGTTTAGAAGAAGTATGTTCTTATATCTGAAAGTATTTGTTAAAAATATTCTCACAAAATTACATTTGACATATTTTCGTATAAAAAACTTGTACAAACAACGAATAGGTTGTTTAATAATAATATTACAATCATACCATTGTAGTGTTCATAAAAACTGAAAATGCTCTTAAGATGAAAATAATTAAAAGTATGCAGTTTCTATACAAGAAAAGCGCACTTGATTGACGAGCCACTAACCATTGGAAAATATCAGCTTTTACTGTATTTAGCTGATTAAATTTAGTTGGTTGACTGTCTTTGATCAATATTAATAAAAAGAAAAAAAAAGAAAATACTTCATATCTCGAAGTATGTATATCTTACATCGTGTTTTCATATTGAACATATTACCGTACTAAATTTTCATATGTAATTATGATGTTCAATAAAATTAATCTATTTAGATTTATACTTTACTTCATCTGGGAAAGCTTCCCTTGGGGGTACCAAGCTAAGCATTATTACATGACGCTGATAAGCTCTGGAGTTACGAAATTGCGTATCTGTGCCGTGAATGCGATCCAACACTCCTAAGACGCCAAAACATTGGTTGAATCTGAAATAATGTAATACTTAATATTTATTATTAAATAACAAAGTATAATTTTAATTTCAACTTGGCATTTATAATTTCGATAGAAAAGATACGTATATAAATGATTTTGTTATAATCTACTTAGAATAGTTTTGTTTTCTTAATTTTATCAATGCTAAAAAATTACTTACTTTAAGTGATGAAAATCGTGAGCTTCTGGAGATGGAAAGAATGGTAAATGGTAACCAGAGTGAGCATTTAATGTAGAAAGAATAGCAAGCGAAAACCAAAGCCAAGCAGTAGCCACGTGAGAACTTATGATGAATACTCCCAAAAATGGTGGCAACAAATTTGAACCAATGTGTTCTAAGGGATGACAATATAGTGATGTTACAGCTATGGGGGCCGTCCACTCGTGGTGCTGTTTATGTATATATTTATACAGATAGCGGCTATGCAGAAATCTGTAATATAATTTTACTTTTACTTAGGTTTGTTTATAATAATAAAGTCATATAAAACGCTGCATAAAATAACAATATAAAGCTATTACAGTTACTAAAATGTAATTTCACCAAACAAGTAAAGATATTACTGTATTAATTCTTTTTAGATATTAAAAAAAAATGTAATTACTGCATTAATACTCCAATTATTTAAAAAAATATTAATAATAACATATCTTAATTTATAAATGAATTTATCATTAAAAATATGTTTTTTACCTAAATACGAATGATCTAATGTAAACTTTTTAAGGCTTGCACACTTAATTTTGTCAATTCAAGGCATACACCTTTTCGCATGATTTATTTTATAGATTAAAGTAGGCCATCTAGCATAATCTATATTCGCTAACAGTAAAGCATTTTCTAATGACGCTTTATAAACAATTTAAGGATAAAATTAGTGGAAGGATTGGACAGAATAAAAAATGTTGGTACCTGTGCGAGTAATAAAATCCAATTTCCTCGCACAATATGTGAATAGCGATTTCAACGAGCACCCAATGGAAGGTCGGCAATTCGCGTACAGGGGGATAACCGCGCCATTCCATAAGGAGATAACTGACGTACGCCAGAGGAAATCCAATAAAGGTTTGATTGAATAGTACTTGAGCGATTACTTTGAGCAATTCCCTCTTGTCGACCGGTTCATTCGTGCCCGGCTGTATTTTGTATTTCCGCAAAGCAGCTGGCCAATTAGTTAGGTCTAGAATCGTGTATATACCGCCAAAGAACCAGTACACGAAAAATGTCAGCCCCAACGAACCTGTAGTATATTAATGCAATCTGTAATTTTTCCGTTTGTTTAAGAAATCGTCAAATGTATACATATACATATCAATAAATGTATAGATTGTTTCAAGATATGTGTCGTTTGAAATAATAGTAAATAATTCTATCTTTCAGAATAAAAATAATGATTTTAAGGTCATATAAAAGAACCTATCCCTTTTTTCAAATAGAATATTATAACGAAATATTATATTTTTATAATAGAATATATCATTCTTTTACAAACATTCGAAAACAACTAGATATTAACAATATCATGTGCCAAGTTGTTTTAAAAAATATTTAAGATAATTTCGTAAATGTAAATAAATAAAGAATAGTTATCGTATTCGTATCAAAATTATTTGCTTTGTTAAAATTGGTTGTTTTACATGATAGTTCCAACGACTTCTATAACGCATAATAGCAGATAATCAGATCTCGAGCCGTCTTATTTTAAACGGCGCTTATCTTGGAACATCCTGTATACTCTTTATGCTTTGTCCTGGTGTACCATAAACCCAAAGCGTGAAGGGATTGTCTCCTACTTTGTCTAAAATCTTGTCCCATTGTGCTTGCCAGAAATCACCAGAGGCTCCCCAAAATCTCTGCAAATGCCTAAACATCAAAAAGATTATGATAGACAAAATAATTACAATGAATATAAACTGGATCAAAAATCTGGAATCACCAGATATTTTAATTTAAAAAATACAATGCAAAAGTTTTTTGAAAAAGGGAAATATTAGCAGTCTTAGATTTACTTAAAGAATTTTAAAAATAAATAATTCTGGAACAAATTAACATAATCAAACAGGTGTTCCTAAACTTTTTGCCAGCAGTATGCATACGTACTTATGTACGTTAATAAATTTTTTTCTCTATTCCATGAAACCGCGAAAATAGAAAATTCATATTTGTATACTTTATCTGTTAAAATTTACCATGTTAGTGAGTTGCGGAACGCAGCGAATCCGATCACTATGGTTCCAATGACAAATAGAACGCTCCTTAAACTCGAAAGCAAAGTCGGTGGCGTTTGATTCTTGCAACCATCGCCGGTCACAGGCGCCGCTAAAAACAAAAAACAGTTATTGGTATTTTAATCGTAACAGTTTTTATAAATTAATTATAACCAATATCTTTATAACCAATTAATTTGAGCAATGTATATAGTATTATACAATTTATCATGATGTCAGTACAATTCTTCGAATCTTTATTTATAAGTAAATTATTGCGCCTGATATTTTATAATTTTAAAAACTTATCGACAATAATATTGAATAAAAAATAAAAATAAAAAAAATGTTATCATTCAATAAGATAACAATTATAGTTATTAAGAAATTTGTTACTTATCACGTCTAGTAAACTAATCACATAAACTTATTGATAATGATGCTAGTGATTATTGGAAATGATGAATTCGTTCTGTTTGTTATTTATCACGTTTTCAAAGAATAGGATAGGAATAAATTTAGCTACTATTGACGGTGGAGGGCAACGAAAATGAAACGGGAAAAACGGCGGTTTGCACAACAGAACGTTAAACAATATAACCCGGATCCGATCGACAATTCAGTGAACAGCCACTCTATACAGCCACTAAAATTGCAGTTTTTAACGTGTTCGTGGCCAAGTTGTGAAAAACAGCCATAGGCCATGTTCAATTTCTTGCATACTGCGCATTCTTGTAAGCATCTTTTTTTTAAGAACGCAGTGATTCCTACACAGACGTATCACGTATCAAAACCACTGCATTCAAATTAAATTTAGTAAACATTACAAGATTTTTATTTTATAAACATATGTTTGTGCAAAATCATTATTCATATTTTTTTTACTGCCTTCTCTTCATTTTATTATTTTATATCATTACTTTGTAAATTCGAAAGTTAATGCAAATTGAAGTATGTTACTTTTCTCTGTTAACAATTACCCGATAAAGCATTACCCGTGGCGTAATGTTATTGAAAAGATAGTATTATTTAATGTTTCTCTAGTACTATGAGATATAAGGAATTGAAGTTATTTATTCTTCAGCAAGTTACGAGGAAATGAAAAAAAAAAAATATGAACAAATATACGATAAGTTAAAAGAGGTCGATAGAAACTTGAGAACATCGTTGGGTACACGTGCACTGAACTAACAATAAGAATTCCTATAGTAAATCTCTGTGTTGAAAGTATCCCGCCTGATGTTGTATCAACGAATAGTATTAATGTTAAGCCAACTAGGAACTTGTTTGAAAGTATCAACTTGTACAGGGCGACCTAACCAAATCAGTACAAACCATATCGTAACGTAGTTATGAATCGATTAAAGTGTGCCTTAATATACAGGGTGACCCAATTAAATTTACAAACATGGAATAAATTTGTATTCCCTTTAAAAGTATAATTATAGGTACAGAAATTGCAATTCTTCGTGATTAAATATTTCGAAAATACAAAATAACTTTTTTTTTTCAAAAAAATTGAATTTTGAAAATATGTCGTTGTCACATTTTTAACTTGTCTTTCTATGAAGAATCACATTCTGCTCACTAGTATGAAATTTCATAGAACATCCTGTATACGCACTTTACAATTATTTTAAAAACATTTTGTTTTATTTTGAGGTTACATGAATTTTTAGGTTAAGTTACATGACTTTATTGGAAAATGCGGTAATGAGATAAGGGAACTTAACCGAACCTTGATATGAATACCACTTGATAGGCTATTGTAAACATTATATTATTCGTTTGCCATATTTCTGCTTCAATCTTTCTCCTTGACATTTAATATTCCTTTGAATCCTCTTTAACGCTCTTTCATCCGAATTTTATAACTTAATTTCTTTCACAAAGTACGTTTATCGCACAATTTAAATTATTGTTTTAAATACATTTATATTGTTTATTCTAAGATTGTTAATTGATTCGTAAAAGTGTCATGATCCAGTTTTATCAATTACAAAATAGTTGCAAACTTTCACGTTCGTTGTGAAACTTTATTTCGAAAATTAAAAACATTTTAAAACATCCGTATTTGCAAATTCCAAGGGTTATGAAACATGATATCCGAAGTAAATGTATAGAAAGTTAACTTTTTATAAATTTAATTTGTGTAGATTTTCTGTACATGTACATTTCACTATCTCGACTTAATTGAACAATCTGTATGCAAAAGACACGGCTATGATATACATCTCATTGCTTCGATTTTTGAATAATCTAACTGCGCTATTTTGACAGTTCGAGATAATTAAAAAGTGCGTTCGATGCATTTCTGAAAATAATTTCGTACAAATTGATATGGGTAATGTTTTCAAGGCGCGCGAAAACGCAATTCCTGCTATAACACATGATGGTGAAAGTTTCACGAGCTCTGAAAACGTAATGAAGTTTCATTCTCAGCAAATATTTTGAAGAATTTATTTTTAACGCTGTCGATAATATCGACGTACACGTGCACAGATTTGTACAGTTTAGTTGTAACTTATTACAATTACTCGTAAAAATTGTTATATTTGTTCAGTTTTTTTTCAATATTGGTATCGTTATCGCTTTAATTATTTACTATTTTCTGACACAATATAATGGAAAATGTCCATAACGTCTGTTTCAAACATTTTATTAATCTCGTGATACTGCTTACAGTCATATTAAACATGAAAAAATATTTAAGAAACGTCTTGTTATAATGTAAAAAAGTGCTCCTAAAAATAAGGAAATTTTAAACGTTTCAATTTCGTGATCGTCAAACTTTTCAACGTGAGATTATTAATAGAGCAAACTTAAATATTCATAATATCAAAAGTAAGAAGAAATCGCGATAAGTGCTATTACACGTAACTCTTTATGTCTACGATGCATACTCAATAATATTTATCGCGATTTAAAACGTTTGCATCAATGGTTTTTAGCGACGATATGTTTTCTTCTTATGTAAACATATGTTAAATTATGTATATATTTATAAAAACGTCAACGACGCTCATAAATGTTATACATAGTAGTGATAAATTTTAATAAAATAGCTTCAGTGGCAACGAGTCATGAAGTAATGAAATAATGAAAGTAAAGGTAAATAACTTAAGGTAAAGTTAAATAAAATAATTAATTTCACATTTACAAATATAAGAAAATAAGCCGAATTTGGAAAGTAGATGAAAAATACTGCATGTTCAATATGGTAATATTAAAAAAGAAAAAGTTGTAATTTGCATATTGAAACTTTTAAAGTAATAAATATCTTATGGCGGAATCTTCTCGTTTTTATTAGATAGGATGTTGAAGTTAATTAACACCGTGGAAACATACAATTAATTGACCAGCAGAGCTGGTAAACAATGTATCAAAATTGTTTTAATAACCACACACACAAAGGCAAATTATTTCATGTGTACTTTTTTAATTAACAAGTTTATATCATCGTCGACACATAGTATTGTGTAATATCGAGTATCTTCTGAGTTCAATATGCCAGTAATAGCTACATGACCCCGGTCAATAAATATTTTTATATTTCATAATTAACTTTATTTACGTTTATAATAGTAATACGAAAAAGATGAGAAATAGG